GAACAACCATGAATACCAAATAATAATTCAATCTCTTGCCTTAATTGTTCATATGAAATAGGAATTAATGATATTGGAGCTTCTAATAAAATAGTACCAATAGAACTTAGAGCACCAAGTCTTGGCTTTAAATTTTCAATTTCAACATTTACGTACTTTAATAATGGTTCTATATTCGTTACATTATTTTCAATTTGATTTCCAGATTTTACTAAAACCAGTTTCATATTCACATCCTTGATTTTCTGCATTTCTTCTATAATTACAGTTGCTACATTCGGCATTTTAGACATATCTTCTTGAGGTGTTTTGGTTGAATTTTCAATAAACTCTTTATGGCTAACAATTACTTTTGCCAAATTACAATTTTTGTCTTGAATATCATAATACGCAATTGCTTCATCTGATGGAACCAACTGAGCTTTCTTTCTCAATTTTTGAATTCTATTGATTACTTCTCTTGCTATTCCTTCATTATGCATACTTTCATCTGGAGTAACGTCTAAGAGAATTAATACATTTCCTTCACTATGTGCTTCATACTGTTTCGATAACTGTTCAGCAGCTGGTCCAGTGAAACTAAACATCAAACGTAGATCTTGTTCTTTCAGTTTATGACCTTGTACCATAATTTCTTTTGTTTCAACAAATGTTTGCAACTGTTCATCAGAAAGTTCTTTAATAGCTTGTGTAACAGATTTAAACTCTCCTTTAAGACGGGCTCCAAGTATTTTATGATCTGGTTCTGCTCTTAACGTAACACCATATTTTTGCTTGTCTGTGGTAACTGTTAATTCTTTTACATTAAGTTCATCAAGAATGTATAACTTTAGAGAGACTATTTCTTTCAATACTTCAGCATCTTGATGAATAACCACAATTTCTGGCAATGGGTACTTAATAGGCATTGTTTTTCTATCTCTTACAATACGTCCCAATTCGATTACAGTTTGCATATATGATACAGCTTTCTCAATGTTTTCATTAATCATTTGTGGACAGGGTTGTGGTAGCATTTGGTAATGAACACTATCCATATTTGTTTTAGATTGTGGAAGTAATTTTACCAAATGTTGAAACATAAATTCTGTTAAAAATGGTATGAATGGGGCATTTATACATACCACAGTATGAAGAACAGAAAATAAAGTATTTAATGCTTGTTGACAATCGTCTATGCCACTGTCACCTTTGATACGTTTCCTATTCATTCTTACATACCAATTAGTAAGATTATCTATATATTCAACTAAATGAGGTATCACTGTGTATAATTTATAAGCTTGCATTTCTTTTTTGACAAATCCCAATAATGTTTGAGTAAAAGATATAATCCATTTATCCATTATATTATTAGAACATATATTTTTAGTGTCATCATACACAAAAGTAATGTTTTCTTCTCTTTCAAATCTCTCAATATTTTGCATTAAAAATCTGAATGCATTATACCAAGGTAAGAACACATCCTTTATGACATCTCTAACTCCCCCTTCTACAAAACGTAGATTTTCAGCTCTCACAACAGGTGAATTAATTAAGTACAAACGTAGAGCATCTGCTCCATACTTGTCTACTATTTCTATAGGATCTGGATAATTCTTTTTACGTTTAGACATTTTCTGTCCATCAGAAGCTAGTATCAAACCATTAGCAACAAGATTTTTAAATGGAGCTTTCCCAAAAAGAGCAGTTGATATAACTAGAAGAGTGTAAAACCATCCACGAGTTTGATCAATACCTTCTCCAATAAAATCAGCTGGAAAATTATTCTCGAATTCCTTTTTGTGTTCAAAGGGATAGTGTACTTGTGCATATGGCATGGAACCAGATTCAAACCAACAGTCAAAAACTTCAGGTATTCGTTTTAATGGTGGCTGTCCTAGACGTTTTGAAGGAATAGTTAAATGGTCTATGCTTTCCCTATGTATATCTGTTATTTTTGTATTTGTTAATTCTTCCAATTCTGCAATGCTGCCTATGCATACAATTTCTTGTCCATCTTCTGAAATCCATAAGGGAATTGGATTACCCCAATAACGATTTCTGCTAATAGCCCAATCACGGGCATCTCGTAACCAATTGCCAAACCGTTTTTCTTTAACATAATCTGGTACCCAGTAAGTATTACTATTTGCCGTTACAAGTTTATCTTTTATGGCTTCTACTCTAATAAACCAAGATGGTACAGCTCTATAGATTAGAGGAGTATCAGATCGCCAACAAAATGGATAACTGTGTTTAGTCGTACCAACATAAACTAGTCTTTTATTTTTTTGAAGATATTTTATGATTTCTTTGTCAGCATCTTTTACATATTTTCCAACAAAATCTCGAACTGGTTCTACAAAACAGCCACAGCTATCAATAGGACATACAATTTCTTGATCCCTTGTTATAACATTAGCTGCTAAACAACATCGGTAATCATCTTCACCAAAATAAGGAGCTTGATGAACAATACCAGTACCAGTTTCTGCAGTAACATATGTGTCATTTAATACTTTAAAAGCACCTTTTTCTTTCAAATTCAAAAAATATGGGAAAGGTGGCACATATGCCTTTCCTTTCAAATCCGACCCTTTTCTTTTGCCTTGTATAGTGTATAGATCCTTAGATTTGTATACAAGCTCTAAACTTGATTCTAATATAATATAGATATTATTAGAAGTATGATCTTTAACTTCTACATATTCAAAATTAGGATTGCAGCAAAGAGCTAAATTACTAGGCAGAGTCCAAGGAGTAGTAGTCCAAGCAAGGATAGAAATGCCAGGCTCGTCTACCAAAGGAAATGACACAACTACAGATGGGTCAACAACTTCTTTATAGTTTTGTCCTGATTCAAAATTAGATAGTGGAGTGTTGCAGCTAGTTGAAAAAGGCATTACTTTAACACCTTGATAGACAAGACCTTTATTATACAATTCTTTAAAAACCCACCAAATAGATTCCATATACCAAGGGTAAAGAGTTTTATAGTCATTCTTGAAATCTATCCATCTACCAATTCTGGTCACAATGGATTCCCATTCTGTTGCATATCTCATTACGATTTTTCTACATTCGTTATTGTAATTTGCTATCCCCATTTTAGCAATATCATCAGGACCTTTGATATTTAGATTTTTATCTATTTCAAATTCGACAGGTAAACCATGAGTATCCCAGCCAAATCTTCTTTCCACATGATAACCAGATTGATGAGCATACCTCGTTATAATGTCTTTTATTGTGCCAGCTAATATGTGCCCATAGTGAGGCAGTCCGGTAGCGAAAGGTGGACCATCGTAGAATACGTATTTCGGTTTATCTTTGGATTGTTTCAAGCAATTTTGAAAAATATCCAACTTCTTCCATAATTCCAAAATTACTTCTTCTTCCTTCGGAAAATTAATCGTTTCTGGTAGTTTTTCTATCATTTTCGAGGATTCTTCAACAATTGTTTGCCAAATTATTCGGTACCGGCTGGTACTGACGCAATATTAGGGTTTAAGATGTCAGGCATGAAAGACGAAAGATACGTTACTGCAGTACTGCCAGGTATTGCGGGCTTACTTGGAGAGGTTAGCATTTATATACACTGAAAAGATTTGTGTACATGTGTTGTTTCAGAGTTGGTTGTGTAAAATATTTATGTTAACACGATACTATCACCCTCTCGCGGTATGTGTCGCTACCAAATGAATCATGCGCGGAAAATTTAATATACTTCTATTATGCATCCCTCACTAAACTACGGCGCATTTACAAGCTGTGAATTGAAGAAATTAAATTATGATGTTCAAAATTGGTACATTCCTAGCAAAGGGACGGGCGACAAAAATGCATGTGCTATACACTAATCGATTCATTTTGACGTGTATATCGCGGAAATTTATCGTAACTGAGAAAATCGCGGTTAAAATCTTCATACGACTGTCAATATTTCCAATATGGTAGCCATTTTTGGTAGATATTGAACTGTGATAGGATGAAATCTGCCGATAAATAGCACAAGGATCGGGGTTATAGAATAAATAAACTAATCAATTGTAATATTTCCACTCAACACTTATAATTTATTTAAGTATTTGACATTTTTAAATTTAAATATTTTGATATGATAAATAAATTATTTATTATAAATTGAATACTTGTTAGTGGAAAACAATAATGAATGAATTAATATTTACATTATAATATTTACAATAAAACAGAAAACATTAATTATCTACATCTGCCACATTTAGGGTCTGAGTTAGACCAAGTTGGGTGAATAGGCCTTCCCGCCACATGTTACAATTTCAAACATAGAAATATTGAAATATTAATGATTAATAATTTTAGCCACTTTTCATAGCATTAGGGGGTGTGCGTGGGTTAAGTTGGGTTGTTGAGAGAGGGGGGGGGGAGTTGAATCTTAAATACGAAATAATTAACTAATACAAACATAATTAACTGCACACAAATTGTACGAAGTTCGGAACGTGTTCGCCAGCAGTGTGCGCATGCGCAATAGCCCACATATAAATGATTAGTTCTGCCGTCTACCCAAAGATATCATTCTATCACAGTTCAGTATGGAGATTTTAATCGCGAATTTCTCAGTTATGATAAATTTCCGCAGAAAACGCTTATCAATTCCGTGATATAAGAGTTAAAACGAATCAATTGGTGTATAACACATATTTTCGTCGTCCGTTCCTTTGCTATGATTGTTCCATGATAAAATTGTATTAGCTATACTGTAATTATACATGCAAAATTGGAAATTTTATTTAACTATCAATTATAATAATTTTTGTAGAATATCAAGTGGAACTCGCATTGTTTGATCATCAACTAAAACAATATCAAATACTTCCATATATGATTCCAGGCTACTGTCAACCTAAAAAAAATAAAAAATTTCTGCCTTTCTAATGAACTATTCATAGATAGTAATTTGTTCCTATAAAAAAATCACGGTAAATATTTACAATAAGAGAGCAACTTTTCAGTAATATTTTATTCCAAATATTTAAAAGAATGATCAGAGTAGATCTGGATTAATAAATGTAACTCATCTATTTCAAATATTTTTTTTTAAATTTATACCGAAAATGGTTATGCATCTGTATTTTGAGAACAAACCAAGAATGTGATTATTCCATGTCGATGTCAATCAATATTCATGATTAGTACTGAATGGAAATAAAAACAAATAAATTTATTAGAATTATTAATTTCTGATATGGCTCTC